CCATTAGGTTATGTATTTTCTAATTGCTATAACATGGTTTGGAAAAGGTCATTTGTATTTCTATAAAAATAATTTATTTTCAATACTGATAAAAATTGCCCTTTGGTTTGGACCAAGTATTTTTAGCCACTTGTGAAACTGAGTTTGACCCCCCTAATCTAACCATTTAAATAAAGTAATATCATACCTCTCCATTTGTTTCTAAACACATAAATGTACTCCTTCTATCTCCTTATGCAGTTCTCTGTTCCTCCTCACCAGAATTGTAGWGACAATCAGAGTCCTGTTTGCCATAGAGTCTGTCACGTTGTTGTTCTTGTCTCTGTTGGGCTTTTCCATCAAGGTCATGCCTCTGTATGAATTCCACACAGCAACCTGGAAACACAAAATGTGGCTTAGAAATTATAAAATAACCTCTGCTGCTGTTTTTTTAAAAAAGCAGGATATTACATTTGACTTGTGCTACTGGTAGTGAAAGACTGACTAAACTGGGGTGTAGCCAAGAGTTTTGTCAGTTTGCTGAAGCTTTAAATAAACTGGGAACACTTAAGTGATCACTGTCACCTGCATATTGAAAGGGATTAAGATGACAGATTTGTTCTCTTATCCATAAAAATACACATTTTGTTAGTTTCCAAGCTTAAAAAAGAAGTCAGAACCAGCTTCGGCATGCTGATTTTACTCAAAAATATAAAAAAAATAATACTCAATGAACAGAAACATAAGTAGAATAAAGGTTCAAAGACCAGAAACTTCCAGATTTTTTAATTCTCTGATATGTTCACTGCTCCTTTACCTTTAATCTGCTGCCCTGATGAAGCATCATCTGAGTGAATTGCTTAAATATTTTACTTAAACTTTTTTTCTGAAACTAAAGCAGTGCTTTGCTCTGAAATCTTTGCCAGGTAAATTTTGTWGTAACCACWGTGGGTTCTGAAACATCAAGGYATCTTGAAAAGATTTTCAGAATGAATTACATTTAAAAATGACYACTAACAACTTTTTTCCGTWACTTGTTACAAAAGTGTGTGGTTGGTGTACTTAAAAATTGATAAAATTAGCATAATAAATATTGTTACTTGTTTATTTGGCCTGATAACARTGTTTGTCACCCAAAAATAGTTGGGGGCAAAGGTCTCTGCTAATGTTAGTTTGTGGGTGGAAATCTGAAAAGTTTGGGGACCAMTGATATACAACATTATATATTCTGTGGCTGTTTTAATATTATTGATTTATAACAGTGACAAACTAAATCTCAGCCTGAGCATAATGGTAAATATCAGCAGGGATGGTATGAACAAAAAAGGGTAGAATCAGAGGGGGGTTTAGGGGGACCAGAGGGCAACCCGGTGCCACAGTATAAGTGAATGAGGCTGTCTGCTTCMTATAACTAAGCAGTATAATCCCAGCAGTTATCAGATTAGAACAGGCGTCTGGCAGCTGGATTCTGAAACGCTCTAATCCCCTCACTGTTAAAGAGCCAAGCGAGGGTCAGGGGAGCTCATGGCAGTGATGCAATCAAGTTAAGCGCATTAACTTGTTACGCTTCATTGTTAATCAAACTAGAAGTGACAAGATTTGATTTTYCTGCAAGTAACTTTATGCAAACGAAAGGTGTTGTATTCGGGGGCTTTTTGTTTAGAAACGATTCGTTCTGTCAGTCAGTGCAAAGAGGCTGACTGGCAGTGAACGCATGATTAAACTCAGCAAAGGACTTACTTTTTTACTTTTTATATTATAACTTTTCTCAGAAAATTGTAACATGGGCTTATCTGTTCCAACCATAACATTTTATCATCCTCAAACCCACATAGACATAAAATTGTGCAAATCTATGACAGTGCTAAATGTGTTGAATATTCCCACCTAGTCTTACAATGGTTTTAATTTTCACATTAATATGCACTCAGTACCCCTTAAGGACAATGTGAAAAAACATTTTATTCAATTGGTGGTTGTTTCCTTTTTGGTTGTTCCTTTTAGTGTTTACAACAGTGAGCAAACTTTGGCTCAGATGCCATCTGAGGAAAATTAAATTAACTGAACATAAAACGGAGTATATATACTAGAACATGAATCAAAAACTCAGTGACAGGATTGTTGCACGRCATAGACCTGAGGAAGGAAATGACAAAAGTGGGACAACACCAGGACTTTTCTAAGAGATGGTCACTTGGACACGCTGAACAATCGAAGGAGAGAGGTGACCAAGAAACGAGCTTCAGTTCGAGAAGGACGACAACTGCAGGGCTTTCTGTCAGAGGGCAAAGCACTTCAATGTCCACTTTAAAAACTCTCAGACTGATGGACATGATTTTGTTGAAACCTGACTGAACTGTTTGGCTTCAATCTTAAATGCTAAAATATAGTCTTTGTCAGTCATATGGTCATTRTTTTTAAAGCCTTTGCCATGGGTTTACCATTTATAGTGGTGTAAATTTACCAGAGCAGCTCCCAACAGCAAATGAGGTGTAAAAAAATGACAGGAAATCTCTCTTAAAGCCTTTAAAAAGGTGTTATGAATCCTACAGCTCCTCTATACTCAGGACCTAATCACACACTTCCTGTGGATCAAAGGACTATTTAAGGGGGGAAAAAATGCTAAAAAGTCTTTTCCCCAAAAGTAAACAATTTAAAATAATCTCAATTTGTAGTCTCTTCCTTTCCTTTCTTCGGGGTGCATTTAACACTTCAGTGTACAAGAACTAACTGCAGTGGACTGATAATTTCTCCATCATGACCATAAATTCAGGTGTTTTATGGAACGTGCTTACCATTTTGTCATTACTCCTCCAAGCCGAGGCTGTTAAAAGCTAAAAGTACTGAATAAAATCAAAATTGCAGCATAAATCCAGGCTTCTGYACCTCGACAGCTGCTGACTGCCCACATAACTCACTTTGACAACAAAGACTGACAGAAAAGACGAATTTAACAGGTTATGTTCAGGAGGATGAAGTGGATCAATGTTTTCTTTTCTTTCGATTGAATCTTTTTTAAAGAGTACTTAGGCTTCTTTAAAACTACTTTGTTTTAGACTTGTTTAAAAAAGTGATGTACAGTATCTGTAAAACATATTCTTAATCACAGCCAGAAGGGTTAGAATTAAAATGAGATTAGATAAAGTAAAACAAAAAGAGCTATTTTTTATAATGTTAAAAAAAAGTTACTTGTTTCTAAAACTGCCCTAAAACATAAAAGTTTTGACACTTGTCAGATCAGTCAGAGCCTGCAGCCAAACAGAGGACCGTGGAAAAAAAAACAGCTCTGAAATGTCAAATATAGCAGTGCTGTACACAAAACCAGCGAAGAGCAACAAAATTGACAAGGCAGGTAACGGGGTGGGTGTGAGGGGGGGTGTCGGTGACATATGGAATGAAAACTACGGGGAGGAACAGAAAAAACAACAACAAAGGTTTCAAACCAAACAGGACTCGAACAAACCTTGATCCACCTTTTTGTGAGGCGGCTTGTGCTCTCCGTTATAAACTTTAGAAACGTTGAAGAACATGAAGCACAGATAGCATGAAGAAGAAGAAAAAAAACGCAAACAAAAATAATTACCAGTCATGAATGGACACGTTTTAGACTTAATACCTGGAATAATGGATTAAATGACACCCCCCCCCCCCCTCCATGTCTGTGAATCAGCTGGCACGAGGCTGGTGTGACGGACTGTTTGAGGCTTTATTACTCACTCTGGCAGTGCCGTCCTCTTGGAGGCTGATGATGTCCAAATCAAAGTCTCTCCTCAGGCCATCTGTCTTATTTAGAACAATGTGCCCCGTCAGTCCGTCCCACTGGGCCTGGACAGAAAACAGACACCCACAGACAAACAAAAACGAGTAGCAGGAGGCTGTTTAAGTTCTTTCTGACTGAAATGCAGCTGACAGATCTGCAACACACTCTTGTGTTAAGAAAACATGTTTCTGTGTTGATGAAGGACCATAGATGCAGGATGTGATGGAATTTCAACATGCAGGTGTGTTTATGTCTAAAACACATTACTTAGCAGATATGATCACACTGTAATTATTGCAAAAACAATAAATTAGTTAGTTTAAAATGTGCTGACTGTCCCTGTGTTTAGAATAAAAAGTAGGGAAATTAGTGTTTGGTAGATTATTTCTTTGTTCTAACAATGCTTCTTGGCAATAAATCTTAACCCATTGCAAAGCCTGTTAATTTCCCTTTTAAATGGCGCCACATTTGTAAGGATCATGTATTTGTGGGATGAGCRGTAGAGCTGAGTATGTGGGTTGTGCACATTAAAAAATTGCCAAATCTTCTCTGACAAACAGCTTATTTTGCTGTTATTGACTCTTGTTGTGAGCTCCTGGTGTCCACAGGTGTTGCCAATCAGATGCCTGCTACAAAATGTATTGCCAAACATTGTTACAAGAGAAAACACTTATTCCATTACTTCCTGTTGTCTCATGTAGCTGTTTAGTTYAAGTTTTTCTGTTACTGAAAGCTTGACAGAAAATTTGGTTTTGAAAAAAATCCCCAAATAATAAACTTATACCCCTGCAGCCAAAACACCAAAGTTTCTTCAAACGTTGGTGAACTGTTTATTTCACAAACTTTAACATCCCAGAGGATATGAAGTGGACATCAGACATTTTTTTTTTCTCTAAATGTGTGTTTTTTTAACAGACCATGATGTTTGGCATCTCGCCGACCTGCTATCTCCTGAATGCAGGGACTTCTTTTTACAAACATGCAACAGATATGAAGTCTACAATGTCACCTAGGTTAACTGCAAATAAAAAATAAGCTTTGGGTGGTTTGTAACTTTCAGATTATTCATTAGAGTTAGGAAAACATTTTTGCAGCAAAACTGCATTGAGGTCACAACCCACCATTCCTCAGCCAAGACATACAGGATTGAGTTTTGCTCTGGTTTTCGACTGAGTCATTTGCTGCTTCAAGYGTTTCTTTGGACATCTTATAGGAACTGTTCCAAAATGTCCAGGTGTATTTACTGGCAAAGCTTGAAGTCTGAAAATCCAGTGTTCTGATTATGCATTGCTCACACGAAACCTTAGATTCACATTTAAAAAGCTTATTAAATATTCTCATAGCTGARATGAGGATAAATGAAATTTCTCATACTTTTTAGTACTGTTTCTGAGGATCTATAATTTTACTAAGTAATTGCAACTTTTACTTTTATTTTGTTACATTCAAGACATAAAGACAATGCTTTTGCTTCTTTTAAAAAATAGTTATCACCTTGCAACACGCTACACATTTAAATATGACTAGAATGTGTCGTAAAAATGAGTTGTTTTTGCACTCTAAAAAATAGGTGTTGAATTTTCTTACTTAATCAAGTTACAGTGGGTAAAATAAGTATTGAACATGTCACCATTTTTCTCAGTAAATATATTACTAGAGGTGCTGATGACATGAAATTTTCACCAGATGTTGGTAACAACCCAAGTGATCCATACATACAAAGAAATCAAACCATAAATGTCCAGAAATGAAGTTATTTGTAATAATGTGGAATGGCAMAGGGAAAAAGTATTGAACACACTTACTGAAATTTATCTAATACTTTGTACAAAAGCCTTTGTTGTCAATGACAGCTTCAAGACACCTCCTGTATGGAGAAACTCTTGGCATGCATTGCTCAGGWGTGATTTTGGCCCATTCTTCCACACAAACAGTCTTCAAATCTTGAAGGTTTCGTGGACCTCTTCTATGAACTCTGATCTTTAGTTCTTTCCATAGATTTTCTGTTGGATTCAGGTCAGGTGATTGGCTGGRCCATTCCAGCAGCTTTAGTTTCTTTCTCTGAAACCAACTGAGAGTTTCCTTGGCTTTGTGTTTGGGCTCATTGTCTTGCTGAAATGTCCAGCCACGTTTCATCTTCATCATCCTGGTAGATGGAAGCAGATTTTTATCAAGAATGTCTCTGTACATTTTTCCACTCATCCTTCCTTCAATTATTTGAAGTTTGCCAGTACCATATGCTGAAAAACAGCCCCACACCATGATGTTCCCACCTCCAAACTTCACTGTTGGTRTGGTGTTTTTGGGCTGATGTGCAGTGCCATTTGACCTCCAAACATGATGTGTATTCTGGCATCCAAACAGTTCAATGTTGTTCTCATCTGACCAGACTATATTCTCCCAGTATTACACAGGCTTGTTTAAAYGTTGTGCAGCAAACTTTAAAGGAGCTTCAACATGYTGTTTCTTCAGCAGTGGAGTCTTGCRTKGTGAGCGTGCATACAGGCCATGGTGGTTCAGTGCATTACTTATTGTTTTCTTTGAAACAATCGTACCTGCTAATTCCAGGTCTTTCTGAAGCTCTCCACAAGTGGTYCTTGGCTCTTGGACAACTCTTCTGATMATTCTTTTCACTCCTCTGTCAGAAATCTTGTGAGGAGCAYCTGGTYGTGGTCRRTTTATGGTGAAATAAYGTTCTTTCCACTTCTGAATTATGGCCCCAACAGTGCTCACTGGAACCTTCAGAAGTTTAGACATTCTTCTGTAACCGATGCCATCATTATGCTTTGCAACAATAAGGTTGTGAAGGTCTTGAGAGAGCTCTTTACTTTTACCCATCATCAGATGGTTCTTGTGTGATACCTGGCCATAATTTGGGACTGAATCAGCTGATATTAACTTGCACTGACAAGGGGCAGGCTTGCTTTCTAATTACTGAGAGAGTTCAGCTGGTGTCTTGGCTTTCCATGCCTTTTTACACCTCCCTTTMTTCATGTGTTCAATACTTTTTCCCTGTGCCATTCCACATTATTACAAATAACTTCATTTCTGGACATTTATGGTTTGATTTCTTTGTATGTATGGATCACTTGGGTTGTTACCAACATCTGGTGAAAATTTCATGTCATTAGCACCTCTAGTAATATATTTACTGAGAAAAATGGCAGTGTGTTCGATACTTATTTTACCCGCTGTATGCTAACTGGTTCCACCAAATCGAGCTGAGAAAATTGAGCAATATTACAAACTGATTTACATTTACCCAACTCGGCGAAGTAAATCCAACACTTAATTTCTTACAATGTGTGTAAAATTAAATTTACTTTTACTTTCTCAATTATTGTGAGCAGTTTTATGACTTTTACTGAAGTACTTTTCTTATCAGAAGTTCATTGTTGCCAAAGTCATTTTCTTCATTTCAATTCAATTTAGTTTAATTTGTATAGAGCCAAGTCACTACAAATGTTGTCCACAAAAACAATAAATCTAATAAAGCTAGCAGATTGGGTTGAAAGTATTGTGTTAAGGTATTTTTGCTTTTACTTTTGTTATTTTTTACACCATCTCTATAACAAAAATTCCATTAAAAAATCTTGAAGTGCACAAGAACACACTAATTAAGAAGATTCATTGTTTTTTATGCTAACAAATAATTCACCTAGGCTGCCCAATAAATGCTTACTCCTTCTTGGGAACTAGACTGAAAAAATCTTTTAAGCCAGGTTTCCTCCTCTTCTAACTAAGAAATCACTTTTATGTGTCTGACTACATTTGTTGCTGAAGGAGAGGTTTTTCATAATGCATTTTAATTTGAATGGGAAATACCAGTTAAAGGCAATAAAACCATCTCTACAAGAACTACGAAATGATCTTCTTTTCTTGGTTTCCAAGAGAAATTGTTGCAGACCGAATGTCAAAAGGRCATTCACGTAGGTCAAATATAAATCAGTTTCATTCATCCACAAAAGCCCAATCAGTGTTGTGGAGAATATCAACCAAAAGTTTTGTTTTGTCCAGGTTGTAATTCCAGAAATAAAAGCCACGTTTCTTATGTTCTCCTCTCACCAGTCAGAAATGTTTTTAATCGAGTGTCGTGTCCAGTGTATTATTAGTTCTGACAGTCAGAGAGGTTACTGTGTAATGATGAATAATAGCAGAGAAGTACAGATGCTTTAATGGATGGGCAGAGACAAACCAACTAAAGGCTAAAAAGGCAAGAAGCATTTGTATTAAAAAAAGCAGCAAGGCATGCAGAGGAAAATATGAGCGTGGGTGGAGAGGTAATATCCTGTCTCCTTGAAAGGCAACAGTCCTCCACTGGATTTAAGACTTAGGAGATCAAAACACTCATGCATCAAAGGCCTCATTTCTGTCTGTAGGCATCCAGTCTCACACTTAAGCTAGGCCCCATGCTTTCAACTTACAAGTACATAAATGCTGGGTAATTCATTCCAAGCCCTGTCAGAGGGGACCTATAAACTATCAAAACATGCTATTGCTTGACACCATCTAACACTGAATTTTGCAACATTTCAAATGAAAAACTGGGGCAATATGAATATTAAATAAAATCCTCAAAACGCACCATCAAAAAGTTACATTTGTCAAGCGAGAAGCACCGAGAAGAGCCCGAGTGAGGAAGAGGGGCTCTCAGCTCGGTGACCTTACCTCTTTGAACAAGTTCATGAAGCGAGGTCCGAAGCGCCACGGCTTGTGGCGGTGACACTGCAGCGAGCTGACGGTCATCTGAGTGGCCCGCTGGGACGCAACCGCCACCATGTGCACGGCATCGAACATCAAGGCTGCATCTGTCTGCAGAGGAGGCAGAGAAAACTGGTGCTAAAAGAGCAAAGACGGGAAAGAGATACGATGGAAGTCCCAATCTGCTTACAGTCATGACTCCATCCAACAGGCCACTCTCCTGTTTGGGACCCTGCACCCTGTCCATGGCCCACTTATCGATGGTGGCGGCCACCCAGGGGTCATCAAAGTTCAGCAGCCTGAACCCCGTCATGTTGACCCCACTGTAACGGTATGGCTCCAGATCCAGAGCGAACAAATCCTGCCAGACAAAAAGAGAACATGGAAATGTACAAAGGCATGAAATAATTTAGAAATTTCCTTGTCAAAAAAAATAAAGTTTATTCAACAATAGCATCCTGTGTGCAAAAGCAGAAAAGATGGAAATAACCGTTATGCTGTATAGTTAGTAAAACGACCTCCGTTTTTCTCAAACTCACCAAAGTTGTGAAGAAAAAGTGATAATACTCTGTCATCATTCCCATCGATGAAAGCTGTGAAAAGATGTTCCAAAATGTGTAAACTATTTCAAAATCAAAAACAAATAATTGTGCTAATTTTGTTTTATAGCAAGTTCTATTTCCACATATTTTAAACTGTACAAGGTTTAATCTGTTCAAATCGTCAGGTTGGTATTACAGCTCATCAACTGTCAGTTAATTTTATTTTTGTTTTGTTTTTAGAGATTAAAAAATATGTTGGTGTTTTGAAATGCTAACGAGTACTGTAAAGTCAAAACTATTCCTGTTTATGTTCTTAATAGCATCGTTCAAAATGCAGACGTCTTTGTTAACAAAGAAACGAGGATATTAGGCTCCACAACAATAAAAACAAATGCAATGAAGAAATAAGTCCCCAAAGGAGACATGAGTGTGTCGGAACATTTATAGAAGAAACTAAAGTAGAAAATGTATAATATGACTGTGCTGACCTGCTTTAGAAGTTCAGAAGCCATGCGATAAGAACAGTCAAAGATAATAAAAAACTCTCGGTCTTTCTTCAGTTCTTTAAGCAGYGGCCGAGCGTCCTGGTTACCCGGGGTGAGCTGACGGATCCGGATCTTTAAGTTTAACTTTGCTGGAGCCTTGATCAGCTCCTGCATCCTCATTAAACCTAAAAAAAAGCAAGGAAAACAAATCGTATTATTTCCTCCTTCCTCTTCTGCATCTTCTCTGTGGCTCTTGGAGGCAGACTTATGGAAGTTTAGGAAAGTCAGTATTTTTCCTCATAGTTTTGGAAATATTAACATTTATTTTCAAAGTGCAGCACTGAATAAGTGCCTGAGAGGAGTTGAGGCAGTAATCCTTCAGCTTGGTTCTGCTGTATTTAAAGGATTTTCCTTTCTGAGTGCAAAACGTATTTATTATTATTATTATTATTATTATTATTATTATTATTATTATTATTATTATTATTATTATTATTATTATTATTATTATTATTATTATTATTATTATTGCATCTTGGATTTTACTGTTAATTAAGACAGTTTTAGCCACCGAGACACTTCCAATCCTCTGGGTGCTTTTGGCTGTAGTACAGCAGATGAACAATCCATTTGTTCAGATGTGTTAGGGGAAAAAAAGATGCTTCCAGAATTACAGACCCTCGTTAACAAATCTGGTCTGCTCCAATATCCTCTGCTCCTGGTGAACTGCTTTGTTGTAATGAGCTGGTTGCACCTGCGTTTTCAGTTTGACTCACTTTTGGAATCTCCTCCACAGAACTGTCGACCCTCACAGGTGTTGTTCCTGTCGCAAACAGACTCGACTTTGTATGGTCTGGTAGATATGYCACTTGAAGTTCAGCTTATTGCTGAAATAATTTTTTTTTACCATGTTCAGAATTGTTCAAAAAATTTGAAAAAGTTCTCTTTTGTATAATTTGCTAAAAAATGACAATTAGGTACATTATTTTGTTAAAATATCTGCAACTATAAATGGAAAATCAGTGTTTCAAGGAAAAGCTTGAAAAGCCACAGATGGCAACTATAGAATAAATCTGTTTAATCGTCTTTTATGAGTAAAAATACAGCCTTGTACCTATCTGCTATGTTTTTTATTGCTATAAAATATTTCATGGAAACAAATACATTATCAGAAAATTGGTTCACTCTTAGGTCRTCTGTTCATTGAAGAAACAATAATTCAGCCCTGAGTTTCCTTACTGTTTTTTTTATGGCAGAATGAGTCATAAGTGAGCAGTAAGTGTCTCAACAACAACAAAGAAAACATCATTTCTGTGAAAATGGTCAGGTTTAAAGATTGGAATAGAAAAAGAAAAAAGACAATACTTTGAAATACCTTCAGAAACATATTGATTAAACAAAAAATCTAAAATAAAAAAATACACGAGAATTTTCATCTGAGAAAAAATGTGATGGGTTTTGCAAAGTTCTGAAAGTGACTTATGACATTCATGTTCAAGATCTTGTTTTTCAGCTTTTTTGTTTAAAGTCTTCAAGATACATGAGCTTTGTTCTGTAATAACAAGGTTTTCTATTTTAATGGAGTGTTCCACTGTATCTCTTTTCATGTTTGTGAGAGATTCTGTCTTTGTCATATCTAAATTTCAATCAAAAATCAAAGATTAAAAACAAAAACTATATAAACTCTMACATTTCCTGAGCTTCTAATGAAAGGACGTTTGAGCAGGAAGGGGCAACATTCAAGGCCAATCAGTGGTTTAATTTGGACGTGGCTGATAGATCAAAATAAAAAAGACGGTGCTTTGTCAGATTGGGTTCAGTGGGGCCGTCTCAGAGGAAGAGACTCTGTAAAAGAGAATAAAACTTATAACTATAGCCATAACCTGTGAATTACTCTAAGGTAAAAAAAAAAAAAAAACATGCTGGGCAACACTTTTCCACTTTTGCATTTTTTAAAGGGTCCAGTCTCAAAATCCTAACTTCACATTATAAATCTCTGATAAAATATTATATAAGAACATTATTATATGAAATCTTCTGAGTTCACACCCGTTGTCTTGATTTTAGGTTCCCTGGGGGAAAACGTGTACCACTGCTTCCCAATGTTCAATAAAAAAATGACACATAGACTGAGGAATATTGCCCWTAGAGGTCCCACCATTGTGTTAAACCTGGACCAGTGTTCAGTTGTGCATCAGAGACTGAAATTGTTGTTTTTATGCGATTTTCAGAGCACAAACACTTCCATTTGTTCATCATGACATGTTGAAATGGGTAAAAATGAATAAAATCAAACATGTAAATGACCAATGATGTTTTTTTAAAATCAAATTGAACATTAATACATTTGTCATTTGGGCTCTGTTTAATGCATGGGCGGGATCTCTAATAATACTCCTAATTTTGCGGTGTTTTTAAAAGCACTACACAGTAATTGGCCAATAACACAATAAKTGACGCTACCTGTGCTGTCCTCATAAACCACGGTCAGTTTTCTCCATTTGAAAAAGGTCACCACGTCCAGGATGGCCCTGGCGAGGGCGGTGTACTCAGGGTACAGGTTGATGAAGAACGTGTCCTTGTTGTCCACAGACGGGTGCTTCCAGCGGGTCTGTATGTGAGGGACTTCCAGGGCGTTGCAGATGGACTGGACCGCGCTGACAGAGGAGCTGTGGGAGGGGCCGAACACAGCAATCACCCCGAGAGCCAGCTGGTCACATGCTGGTTAGAAAAAAAGAAGAAAACGTAAAATTAGGATTGTTTTTGTTTTTTTTTTATTTTTCAGAAATTGCATTTTTTAAACAAAYTAAATAGGAGTGTTTGAGTATATCTTAAAGAGATAATTCCAATCTTCTGATTTTAGCATGAAATATTTTTACCTGTTCATAATTGTAACAGATGATGATACAGGCCACTTCAATCACGCAAGGAGTTCGAGTTCTCACCTCTTCTGGAAGCCTCGAAGCCATCAAAGACGTTGATACGCTGGATGTCGTAGGTGAGGGTTGCGTTTGGCATCAAAGTCTTGTTGCGGTTTATGTTGTTCACAGCAAACTTGAAAGCCAGCTCATCCATACTCACTAACTCACTTTCCCTGGTCTCGAAAATGCCGCCTGAGCATGAAGAAAGATGAGAGGCACCGAGAGTTCAAAACAGGAGGGTAGAGGGGGAAAAAACACAACATAACCAGCACCACTGAGTTTTACCTCTAGTTTCATTAAATCGTTTTTTTGTGTGACTTTGTGACTATATTTATTTTASCCCTACAACTTGGCAAAAGTGTAGTGCAGGTCAGAAACAGTTAGCATCCTTTCTGCTTCTCTCCTACCAACTCGCTACACTGACAAAATGAGAAAGATTTTTGTGCTATGTTAAGTTTTGTAAATATAAAGATGTTTTCTTTGACGTTTTGTATTTGAAGGCTATGCACGTTGCACGCACTTTAAAAAAACAGCGCTAAGAGTTTACAAGCTTCTGCAAAAATGCTTTAATCAGACTCTGACAAAAACAAGCAAATTGACCAGTCTACTTTTACATCAACTGCACTTTCCACATGGAGTTATTAAAATAATCTTCAGTGCACTTTTGTTTCATTTCGTTTCCATTTGGAGCTGACACATTAACGTGCATGAAACCCTCATTTCTGTCATTATGTCACTGTTGTTAACTTTTCATCACAGCTCAGCTTATTGCTTGGATTTTAACTTATAAACTGATTTTTATCTAAATTTCATCAAAGTACCACTAGAGAGTTCTGAAGTCTTAATTGGATCACAGTTTGAGAATGATATCTCTAATAGTTCAGTAAAATGTCAAAACTTCTAGTGACAGCATTGCAGAATGCAGCCAACTCACAGACTCCCACAACACAATGGGCCTCATGCAAGAATCGTTCATATAAACAGATTTGTTCTTAAGTTGTGCRTACGAGTGATTTAGGAGAATTTGTGGCATTCAACAATTTTCTCGTATTCTAAGATTTTTTTTTTCAGATACGAACAATAGCTGTGCGCTTTATGCTACTGCTAAATTTGTGAATAAATGAAAACTATGAAGCACAGTTGTTTACACTTATATTAAAAATATTTGATSAAAGGAAAACCGGAGCAGGACTAGAGACAGATGAATTTGATTTAAATTTTTATTTCTGTGACTCTATACGATCCATGGGAGACACGACATTAACAGASATCATTTCATTTCCTCTGCTTTGTCAGCTCCTTCAATTCCACAGCTGATGCTGCTAAAAATGACAGATTTTCTTTTCTGATCTCTGAGAGCAGGACTTCAATCTCTAAAGTTCTACTTTTTCCTTTTCGCTGTCATTTTAATGAATTCGTTCCTGGTACGTGGGGCAGGAAACATTACCTTATATGGTGTTTGGGTTGGTAGATTATGCTAATCTCCTCTCCTCGTGCACGAGCACCTGATACACATTCATCAGTTTACGCAGCTCATTTACACACTTTTCCTGAAGATAGAAGAGTTTGTTGAAACTGACGTGACATGTTCGTACGAACCCTTTGTACGAACAAAGGTAAGAGAAAATTAGGATAAGAATACGAACATGTTCGTATTCTTATCCTATATTACCTAAATTTCTCTTACCTTTGTTCGTACGAACCCTTCGTACGAACAAAGGTAAGAGAAATTTAGGATAAGAATACGAACATGTTCTTGCATGAGGCCCATTTTTCTTACAATTTGTAAGACGAGTCAGAGCGGAGGACTTCTACTGTGTTTACACTCATACAACCTTAGATGAACAYATATAACGTTGCCATTATTTATTCAACAGACACTAAGTCAAAATGATAAAGTTTTGGAGCAAAGTACACTACTGCTTTCCGAGAAAATAAGGAGCAGGCTGATGGTGCTAATCAGATTAGTTTAATTAACTGAAAATCTGTTAGTTTGAGTTAAATTATTAAAGATACAAAAGAAAAAAACATGTCTTGGCAGTATGCTGGTCCTTAAAGTAATGGTGGTAATACCGATCCAGGAAAAAATAAGTATAATACCAGCAAGGATGTGAAGCATTTGTGGCTATCAATCAACTTCCAGWCCCCATCTGAAGGCTCGGTCCAATTAGCTGCCAATCGTTTCATGTTTGGACATTCCAACAAGTTCAGCCCGAGGTCAGACAGAGCATGCTCAGAGAAAATATAAAAGAAGAGCCCAGGAGCTACATGAAAGCGTAACATCCTTGGAAAGGTTGCCAAGGGGAAAGCCTCTTATCTCTAAAGATGAACATTGGAAGAAATTGGGTCAAACTCCAGGATGGGGATCGTACGGGCAGCTGCAAATCTGCAACACACTAATAAAAAAAAAAAAAACTAAAAGTGGCAATGGTCCAGTCAAAGTCCAAACCTCTACTTGATTGATTGTTACTGCATRAAGGCAGATCAGCACAAAAAAAAATGTCAACGAACCTCAATGAACTGAAACAAGAAGAGTGGGCCAAAATGCTTCCACATTTTTATTTCAAGATTTTGCTGCTGTTGTAGCTTCTGCTTACAACTATACTAAAATAGTAAATATAGCTTCTCTATTTAAGTTTTTTTAATAAGCAATAATCATGGAGTTATATCAGCAGGAGTGAGTCTTGAGGGTTGATTATGTAAAAATTTACTATTAGAGTGTATAC